AAAAGGACTATGTTGCTATCAATTCAAGTACATACCAGTTATAGTTATGGGCTTAGACACCTAATCCAACAGTATCAAGCCAAGAACACTTGATGAACACACGGATGCTCGGATGACCCTAAGAATGATTTTTGGTGTTAAGATATGAGTCGATGATCCAAGAGTGTTATGAAATTATGGAATAACACTTGAGCTTAGATGGAATACTTACCAAAAAGTGCAGTAGCAACTCAAGAACAGTAGCACAATGTGGTGGGAAGTAGAGAGAAAAGAAGCTTTCTTGAGGTGGTATGCGAAGTGTGTGTGTATGTTTGACATGAGCAAGTAAATCAAGAAATCCTCCAGGGATTTCTTTATATAGAAGGTTGCTTCAGCAATTTGTGAGTTTGAAGTGATGTGTGCCTTGGTTTGTGTGATGTGGATAAGGTGGCAAATGAGAGGGTGACACATGGAGGGCAAGTGGGCACACTTGACCCACTTGATGATCTAAGCTATTTTAAATTAATAAATCATTGAAAAGTAATTAAAATAAGAGTTCTGAGGGTTAAAAATGATAAAAATTTGAATTTGGTGAAAAAATCTCGTCAAAAACGTCAAAAATGGGCTTAGGAAGCGAAAGTGGTCGAAAACCGGACAATATGGACCGAACCTGCGAGGTTCGGCTCCAAAGAAGTGAGCACCGAGAGAAGGGAAAAAGAGGAAACCGAGAGAAGGAGGAGAAGACCGAAGGTCCGAAGGGAGGGTGCGAGGGTCTCGGATGGGGGGCCGAAGTTCGGTCCTTGCTGCTGGCTTCGGTCTGAGATGGCTTCTGACAATTTTGCTTCTGACATGTTCGGCTCCTAAGAGGTTCGGCTCCTAAGAGGGGTTTCGGTTCCTAAGAAGGGTTTCAGCTCTAATTAGCTGTTTTTCTAGAAATCTTTCCGTTTTGCGTGATTTTTGACCAAGTTCAGGGTCGGGATGACCCGGATGACTATAAAAAGTTTGAGAGAGATTTTGGGAGAGATTTCACGTACTTGGAGAGATTTCACATACTTGGAGAGATTTGGGAGAGATTTCACATACTTGGAGAGATTTGGGAGAGATTTCACATACTTGGAGAGATTTGGGAGAGATTTCACATACTTGGAGAGATTTGGGGAGAGATTTCACATACTTGGAGAGATTTCACATACTTGGGAGAGATTTGGGAGAGATTTCACATTACTTGGAGGATTTGGGAGAGATTTAATCTTAGCCATTATTATCACATATCTCTCATAATGTAAGGTTCGTGAACCCCGTTATACTTCGTTTATGATTGTTTTAATCCCCGAAAGGGTCCTAGTCGTGTTTTTGATGCGTTTTTAACTCCCTTTTAGGGTTTTTACATTGCTAACACATAGATTTTTCGAGACACTTGAATTCTTGACATACAATTGCACCTTTTTCTACATAGAATAACTTTTGACATTCAAGTACAAATTAAGTTTGACCGGTTTGACTTGTTGACCTTGACTTGAATTTGACGGTTGTCACAATATCCTTCTGTTTTGGAAGGTTATTCAGATGCCAGCTGGGTTAACAGCTTAGAGGATCACTCATCTACTAGTGGTTGGGTGTTTCTTCTTGGAGGAGGTGCCATTTCTTGGGCATCTAAGAAACAGACTTGTATTACTAACTCAACCATGGAGTCTGAGTTTGTTGCTTTGTCTGCTGTTGGTAAAGAAGCTGAGTGGCTAAGGAATTTGATTTATGAAATTCCATTGTGGCCCAAACCGATATCTACCATTTCTATCAGATGTGATAGTGTGCAACCTTGGCTAAGGCTTATAGTCAAGTGTACAATGAAAAGTCTAGACACTTAGGTGTTAGACATAACATGATTCGTGAGCTCATCATGACTGGTGTGATATCTTTGGAGTTTGTAAGAACTCAGTTGAATTTAGCCGATCATCTAACCAAAGGGTTAGCAAGAGATCTTGTGCACAAGGCGGCTGTAAGGATGGGCTTAAAGTCCACTTAAAATCTTTTATATTGAGATACCCAATTCCCATCTAATGTGATATTAGATGTTGAATTCAATGTGGAAGCTTGATATTTGAAGATTGGACACACATTATTTATCATCATCCCAAGGTATGTGTTCAGTACTGCAAGTAAAGGAGGTTGAATTTATATTCTTAATAGTTCTTTTGAAAAAATTGCATTTGCAGGTGCAAGAATAAAAGGACTGCCTATATAAGCATGAAGTTTAGCTGCTTCAAGAAGTTAGGACTTGGCTTTGATATGCTTATTGAAGGATGGGACACAAGCTAGTAAAATATAGTGTCAAGTTAGAACTTATGAGAATGTAAACTGTTGTGTGTATTATCTTCATGTATTCACTATGGATAGAAAAGGTTCAATCCTTAGTGACACCCTAATATTCGAATACTTGGATTGTGTAATATACTAATGTGAAATTCAATCGTCACGCCATTTCATTTATGCATCAGTTTGTTGGTGTTATGTTTCATTTTAAGTTAATCAAGATTACACTTAAATGGGGGAGGTTTGTTGGTGATTTGTTATCATCAATATTATTTAAGTGTAATGGGATTACTTTGTTGACCAAAAGTGATCTTGATAAATATTAAACAAGTAAGGAAGGTGTGGAGTACACACTTGTTTAGGGTATGTTACTATATTAAAAATGCATCAGAAAATGCATCAGAAAAATGCATCAGAAAATCGGATTTTCAGAGAATTGACCATTGTTTGACCCTTATCCAAACTTTCGTTTTTTTATGTCAGTTTTTATAGTTTTATGACAGTTTGAAACTGTCATATGACAGTTTTCAGACAAAGATCATAAAGTCGTTTTTGGTCTCATTTTTCTGGTACATACGAAACTACCATCAAAACATTCTAAGTTCTTGTCTCTTTGAGTCTTATCCGATTAAAGAATATTGGGAGTACCACCCAAATGCTTTAATCTGAAAGTGTTTAACACAATTCTCAGAAATCCAAGTCTTTCTATACCCTAATTCCAACATGCATAAATTAGTAAAGGGTTAAATTTATGTCCGCATAATCTCAATAAATTGAAGATAAACCCACCAACAGAAGATTGCCTTCGATTTGTGTCAGGACCACCGCCATCGACAGAAATTGAAACTGAAAATCATCGGCGATGTTGTTGGAGCGAAGAAGAGAGTGTAAAATAATGAGAAGAAAAAGCAGGGAAGCAATGGCATACCAGTGTTTTTGTTATTTTTCCGGCAACAACGTAACATCCTCAATCGATTTAGAAACAAAGAAGATTCAATACAAACCAAAAGCAGCAGAGGGTAACTGTGGTAGTGAGAAATGATCCAAATGAGAGGAATGATCGAGATGAAGCGGTGAGCTTCTTGGAAGAAACGATGACACTAATCGTAAAGTAATTGGCTTACCGAGTCGGTGATTTAGTGTAGAATAAAGGAGTGTTCCAGAAGTTTGAAATGATCGGATTAAAAACCCAGGCATGGAGAGACTAAATAAATAAATAAAACAAAAAACGTAGAGGGTAAATGTGGAGGTAACCCACTATCTCGAAGAACACCAAAAGGAAACCAAGGGAAAAAAAAGACAAAACTGCAAAAATGGTCCCTATGGTATGCATTTTTTTGGGGTTTTAGTCCAAACCACGACTTTTTTGGATTGGTGGTCCTTTTGGCCATGTTTGTACGTAGATTTGGTCCCTCGTAAAATTGAAATGACTATAATGCCCTTCTGTTATAATTTTTTATTTTTTTTCTATTTAATTTAAATGAAAAAGAAAATAAATAATTAATTTGGGCCCCCCCCCCTCTCTCTCTCTCTCTCGTATACCCCCCACATCTTTTACTAGGAACACTTCATCTTCCTTATATCTTCCTTCTTAATTAAAATTCCACATACACCCACGGAGTTATCACCAACAACCACCGTGACCACCACCTCATCATGTCCACAGATCTACAGTTACATCAAGATCTCTCTGCAATCGGACTGACATCTTTGAAAATCAAGCTTCTAACATCTCCAACTCTACTGGATTCAACATCTGAGGAATCATGTGTGATTCAGTTAGATGATGAAATGTCGCCTGTAGAAAACAATGGGGGCTCTCCTTCGTTCTTTCTTTTTCCCCGTCACAAACCCTTACACTTCATCGAACCTCCTTCCCTATTTCTTCTTCTCGTATCAAAGCTAAGCCACCCCACCATCCCACCCTTATTCTTTCTTCCAATCCCAACGGTGCTTCCACTTCTACCAATGACCTCTGTCGCCCTTCCATCGACGACCTCCACATTCCTTTCACTGAATGCTTCTGATCAACATGTTTCTTTTTGTACTTATTTCGATTGTAATCCTTTTTTTCTTATGTTTCAAGATCTGGTGTGGTAATGTTGAATTCTGAAGCAAGATGTCTCTTTTGTATGAAGTAAACCTGGTTTTGGTGTGAGGTTAGACTCTCGGCATCAAGCTGATGAATTTCAATGTGATAATTTCTTAACCTAGATAAAAAACGGAAGTAGATATAAAGGGGAGAGAAGTGTAGTGGTGGCAAGTTATTAACTGGATTCGTTTGCTGGTAGCGATTATACACAAAATAGTGAATGGATTTTCCTTTTTGATTTTGGGTTGCAGGTGATCTACTGGAAGAAAGAAAAATAGAGAAGAAGGGGTGGATGGGGAAGAAGACGATGGAGGAGAGAGAGAGAGAGAGAGAGAGAGAGAGAGAGAGAGATTTTGTATTTATTTATTAATTATAAAATGGTTAAAAAAGAAAGAAAAATGAAAAATAAATATGTTAAGGGTATTTTAGTCTTTTCAATTTGGAGAGGGACCAAATCCACAACGAAACTAGCTCAAAAAGGACCACTAATCCAAAAAAGTCGGGATTTGGACTAAAACCCCAAAAAAATGCATACCACAGGGACCATTTTTGCAATTTTGTCAAAAAAAATTAGCCAATAAGATCAAAGAACTGTTCAAGTGACACTTGTAAATTAGTATGTATATATAATGAAAAAAAAAAAGAAAAAAAAAACCTGCTTTCTGCTTTCGTGTTCATATTCATGAGTCGTGACACAGACAGACGGCAGAAAAGACTCGCTACTTATTTTCGCTTATACTCGTAGGCCGTAGCAACTCTCTCTTTCTCTCTCGCTGAAACTATATACATGATACATATACACATGCATACATGTTACCCTTCAAAGATCCATTCTGTTTCTAATTTTTCATATACTTCGGTAAAAGAGAATTTCCATCTGGGTGTTCTCTTTTTTCCTTTTCATTTTTCCGATTAACTCCCTCGAAATTCTCTTGATTATTTGAAATGGGTTTTGGGTCTAATTTGATTTTGGTATTAGTTGGGTTGATTTTTGTGGGTTCAAGATTAATTCATGGTTTTGGGATCTTTGGATTCGATATGCATCATAGATACTCTGATCCAGTGAAGGGTATTTTGGATATCGATGATCAGCACCTACCTCAGATGGGTTCAGTCGATTATTACTCGGCTATGGCCCACCGTGACCGTCTCGCCGGCGCCGGCGACGCTACCGTCGAATCCTCTCTAGCGTTTGTTGACGGCAATGAAACTTATCAGCTTCCTTCTCTAGGATTGTAAGGCTTCTCTTATCGTTACTTATTGACATTCGTATTTCCCTTCGATTCTGTTTCTGTTTTCACCGTCGATTGAAATCGAATAGAATGATTGAATTCTTAATGTCGATGACAAATTATCCCTACTTTATTGACTTTAATTTGGGGAATTCCGGTCATCGGAGATGTAATCAGAGTAAATTCGAATTGGGTATTTGTTAAATTAGTGAATGAAACTCAAGAACAACCAAATTCTCGATTGTTTACACTTCATATGTAATTCCAATATTTTTTTAACTTCTATACACATAATTCTTGAAATCTTGTGGGAAATTTTGCAGCTTGCATTATGCAAATGTATCTTTAGGTACTCCAAGTTTATGGTTTCTTGTGGCACTCGACACAGGAAGTGACTTGTTTTGGATACCTTGTGATTGTCGAAGCTGTGTCAAAGGATTAGTCACAAGATCAGGAAGAGTATGTATTTCATCACCACTTTTTACCAATATCAGTAACGGTAACAGTAAAAGTAATTGAAGGTGATGATTGTGTTTTCTCTTAGCAGCTTGATTTCAATATATACAGCCCAAATACGTCTTCAACAAGTACAAGAGTTCCTTGTGATAGTAGTTCGTGTAGACTAAGAAAACAATGCTCAGCAAGACCAGAAATTTGTCCATATCAAGTGAATTATCAATCAAGTAACACTTCATCTACTGGGATCTTGATAGAAGACACTTTACATTTGACAACAGAAGACACTTCATTGAAAGCCACTGTTGATGCAAAGATCAAGTTTGGGTACGTATCTATTCTTTATAATCAGGATGATGATGAGGAGGATGAGGGCATTTATGTCTTTAGCTATTTTAATCTGTAGGTGTGGAATGATCCAAACGGGCTCATTTTTAAATAGGGCAGCCCCAAATGGGCTGTTTGGGCTTGGAATGGAGAAAATGTCGGTTCCTAGCATTTTAGCAAGTAGTGGTCTTACTGCTAATTCATTCTCTATGTGTTTTGGTTCTGATGGAGCTGGAAGAATCAATTTTGGAGATAAAGGAAGTTTGGATCAAGGAAAAACACCATTGAATCTTGATACACCTCAGTAAGTTAGTTTACTTGTGTATTAAGACATTAATTTTGAAAACTCTACCATACACTACTTTGTACGAGAAACAAACCAATGAAAGTACATTGCTATTTCTTTCATTTTTAAACCCTAATTTATGATTTTCTTTTCCACTAGTCGAACGTATAACATTAGCATGACACAAACAGTCGTGGGAGACAATGTGACAAATGTAGATTTCACTGCGATATTTGACACTGGCACCTCGTTCACGTATTTGAATGATCCCGCATACTCCATTATTAGCAAAAGCGTAAGTATTATTACTTTCTATTATAGCATTCTACTTTCATTTTCAATTTTTTTTTTAATTCCAACTTATTCGTGTGATTTATTTTATGTTTTTTGTAGTTTGCTTCACAGACAAAAGAGACTCGGAGTCAACCGCGTTCAAACCTTCCTTTCGAGTATTGCTACGACATAAGGTCAGTGCAGAAAGAACGACTTAATAGAGAAAGTCAGAAAGCTAGAGAAACGAGGCTTTCCCGATTAAGTCATGCCTAATTACAAATTTGCCATTGTTCATTATTAACTTTCATTTTCCGAAGTTGTTATATTCTCAAATATCATTTATCCAAACAACACTTGTTTTGTGCAGTCCGGGCCAACAGACGTTTGAAGCGCCACCGTTGAATCTAACAATGAAAGGAGGAGACCAGTTTTCCGTCACCAATCCCTTCGTTAATGTTCCACTTGAAGTAAGACCAAGTTTTTTTTTTTTTTTTTTTTCTTCACTTGTATCTATTTTAACTCGTTTAAATTTTGAATGTATCTTGTTATTGTGGTTATTCCGAGTGACAAGCTCATGAAGAATGGTCGCTCCCACAGATATAATAAATATTACATTTTTTTTTACTATTATTATTCAGAAAACTTTATGACGGGGTATCGAGTAGTATTCGATCGCGAGAAGAATATTTTGGGTTGGAAACCTTCTAATTGTGAGTAAATCTCAACCAACACTTATAATCCTCCACAGACTGTTTTTACTTTTACCCATTATGTTAAATGATTAACCGTATGACGTTTTATCTTCAGGTTACAATGCTATAGAATCAAAAACATTACCAATAAGTCCACGGGCCTCACCCAAGGGTTCACCGTCTATGTCGGTGGGACCCAAGGCCACAGCTAGGAATGGTTCACCGAGCTCGAGTCAGGTTCAGCCAGGAAATGGTGCATATGGGTTGATGACATCATCGTATACATATTTCATACTTTAGTCTCTATTGTTGCCAATTTTTTCATGGTTTTGTTGTAATTCTTGTTTTGCCATTTGTAGAGTTACATTGGTATATCATGCTACGATGCACCGTATAGAGTATAGAATCATATCACATACATATAGAGATACTTGTCGATTCTTATTTAGTTTTAGTATATATATATATATATATATATATATATATATATATATATATATATATATATAGGGGTGAGCATTTGGACCGGACCGGTGAACCGGACCGTTTTTTGGACCCCCGGGCCGGTTCTCGGTTCTAGGAATCCATCCCGGTCCGGTCCGGTTTTTTTTCCTGGTCCGGTCCGGTTTTTACCGGGTTTAGAGCCGGTTGGACCCGACTTAAAAAAAATTTGTAATCTGTGAAATTTTTTAAACAACCATAACTCATTTGTTTTAAATCGGATTGACACGCAGTTTTTTTCCGATGTTTAACTTATAGTTTGTAGATGAATTTAGACTATAGTTTTGTTGATTTTGGTATAGTATTCAATGAGTTACAAACTTTCAAAGTTGAGCTATCAAAGCTGAAAAATTTCAGCTTTTCAGCAACTTTTTTAAAATTTTGTAATCTGTGAAAATTTTTAAACAACCATAACTCATTCATTTTAAGTCGGATTGAAACGCGGTTTTTTCCAACGTTTAATTTATAGTTTGTAGATGAATTTAGACTATAATTTTGTTGATTTTGGTATTATATTCAATGAGTTATAGTCTTTCAAAGTTGAGCTATCAAAGCTGAAAATTTTCAGCTTTTCAGCAAGTTTTTAAAATTTTGTAATCTGTAAAAAAATTTAAACAACCATAACTCATTCGTTTTAAGTCGGATTGACCTGAGGTTTTTTCCAACATTTAGTTTACAGTTTGTAGATAAATTTAGACTATAATTTTGTTGATTTTGATATTATATTCAATGAGTTAAAATCCTTCAAAGTTGAGCTATCAAAGCTGAAATATTTCAGCTTTTCAACAAGTTTTTTAAAATTCTGTAATCTGTGAAATTTTTTAAACAACCATAACACATTCGTTTTAAGTCGGATTGACCTGAGGTTTTTTCCAACATTTAGTTTACAGTTTGTAGATAAATTTAGACTATAATTTTGTTGATTTTGATATTATATCCGGTGAGTTACAATCCTTCAAAGTTGAGCTATCAAAGCTGAAATATTTCAACTTTTTAACTATCATTTTATACTATAATTTTGAATTTTTTGTATCTTTGATAGATAAATCATATGAAAGGGATCTTGGTGAACTTGATTTATATGTTAGTTGATTTTATTTGGAAAATTAATTTTGCAACTTATAATATTATAACATCAAGGTAGATTAATTATGCATGAAACGGAAACATAATCATTTTTACAAGTTGTATCGTATCAAACCTAAAAACCTTATTTTAACGACTTGTACTCTATGCAATTAAAGTTGTACCGGTCCAAACGGGTCCAAGAACCGGAAAACCCGGACCCGGACACGGACACGGACACGGACACGACTCATGCGGTCCGGTGTGACAACCCGATATTTCGAATCAATGTAATGACCTAAGAAGTCAAGAATTGTAATCTCTTTTGATATAATGAAATTAGCGTAAAAAATAAAATGTTCAAAACTCTCTATTGGGTTGCATAAAATGATCAATATCGTATCAAGGGTTTCAGAAATATAAAGAACACTAAAATCCGAGTTATAACGAAGAAGTTATGATCAATCTAATATTCGCGGCAAAACCGGCAATACTGTTAAACGTAAAACGCGAAGTTTCAATACAATAATTTTTAGCCTTAGGTATCTAAATAAAAGTTGTAGATATCATTAAACCGTAAACATACGTAAAAAGAACGTCCAAATCCGACCTCGTATGAGGAAGTTATGATTTTTCCAAGTTCCGGATATAGCAGTAGACAGCTAAAAACTCGAAATAGAGATCGAGAGACTTTTGGCCGAAACAACCTAAATGAGAATCGAAGATCTCAACAATAGTAGCGCAACGGTAAAAAGTCTGACGAAAACGGACGTTGGATGAAGAAGTTATGGATTTATAACAGAGTTTTCGTGTCCCGGCCTGTTAAAAATATATAATTAAAAATAAAGTCAAAATTAGCCGACGAAATCTAAACGAGAGTTGTAGAGTATATTCTCACCTACACGTGTATATATAGAACGTCGAAAATGGAGCTCGTACGCGGAAGTTACGGATTTTACAAGTTCGAGACATAAAATTCGAGGCTGTCAGACAGCTCACGACGTGAGCCAGAAGCCCACGACGTGAACCTGTGACTGATGGGTTCCAGAGCCTATCAGCGAGTCGTCAAGTCTACGGGAGGAGACCAGGTCGAGCTCACGACGTGAGCCACCCATGCTCACGACGTGAACTCTCAAAATACACCCCTATAAATAGAAGCCAATGGTTTCGGGTTTAGGTGCTCATTTCTTCTCTTTCTCGTGCCGAAGCTCTGCGTTTAAACCCTCGAAGCCATCTCGAAGCCCCGGTCGTCACATCCAAGTTCCGAAGGAAGGTTTTACACTCCCGAGATTCCCGCTAATCCCGAGAAATCAACTTTCTCAAGTCGAAGTTCTGCTCGGTTTTCGTCTCACCTTCTTCAATCTATCAAGTGAGTTCATACCCCTACAACTACGTTTTCAAATGCTTTGTAAACGCTTTTATACACTTTTAAGGGGGGGGGGGGATACAAGTAAACACACGGTTATCCTCCTGTGAAAAACATCAATCTTTTGCTATACTTTTTGTTATATAATCAATCATATGTGATTTATAACTATCATACGAAAACGTTCTCATGCAACATATCACGATAACACCTTGTCCTTTTGGAATAAAACATGTTGTTATATAAATATCAAACACTTTATTTATATTTTGAGTATAAATGTTCAATAATGTTATTACAAATGTTATACTTTACATACAAAGTCGACATTACACTAGGGTTTACTATACAAACGAAACACGCTTTTGGAAAAACTATAATAGGTATAGTTTACAAGGTAATCATGAGATTTTACATACTATAAGTACTATATCAAGGAAATACTTTCATATACAAGAACAAATGGACTTTTCATACGTAAATCTATTTGATACTAAGTTTTGTGAGACATTCAACTTCACGTACTTTCAAGTATGCAGTTAAAGTCCTGTATTATATACCATAATCTCTTGTAGGGAGAGCGTGATACTTGTGTATAGATCTATACAGGATTGACAATCCCGCACCTAAACTGTTAGCTACAGTTAGACCGGCAGGTCTGGGGTGACAAACGTCATAACATTCCAACGCCTGAAGAACGTTGTTACAGGCAGTCTGGGTCAATAGCATGGTTATAAAACTCACATGGAGTATTAAAAACACGTTGATTTACGGGGTTATCAAATGCCTCAGTGATTTTATACATACATAAATCTATTATTCTAGGCATGAAAAACACTAATGCATTACAGTTTTGGAACTTTTAAACTACCACACACTCATGGAAAAATATTGGATTTTCCAGAAGCAAACTCAGTGATTTTATACCAAACTTAGAAATTTTATACACAAACGCTTATGAACTCACCAACTTAATTGTTGACACTCTTTCAAAACTACTTGTATTTCTCAGGGATTCAGTAATACAGGTAAACATCAGCTTTTGGAGAAGTGACGCTAAGGCGTTAGTTTAAAACTCATTTTGTCATCATATTGTAATTTGTTTTGAAACAAGTATCTTTCAACAATGTAACTTTTAAATTATATATATATGATGGTTGTTTTACTTTCTTTACTATGTATTCAACTGTTACGATACTACGTGAAGTCATCCGCCCTCGAACGATTCTGCTTTTCTGGTTTGGGGGTGTGACATCCGGTCCATGGTCCACAATATTCTCCATAACCGGTCCGGTCCAAGCGTCGGTCCGGTCCAAATGCTCACCCCTATATATATATATATATATATATATATATATATATATATATATATATATATATATATATATATATATATATATATATATATATATATATATATATATATATATATATAAGAAAAGTGAATATACTCTTAAGGGTATATAAGATTGGGTACCCATATAGTTAAAACTATGTCGTTTTACAGGAATTCATACCGGTGGAAATAAAATCTACCGACAAGTACGGGTGCCTTCCTATTCGATCAAACTGAAGCACTCTATCGAACCTATTCGTTCAATCTCAAATCTCCACTGATTAGTCATTGGCCTTTCGATTGTACTTCCTGCTAAAAGATTTTACTAATCAATTGATTATACGACCAATTGGCCTTATCAAACGTGAATTAGAATCAAGTGTCGACGGTCTCCACCTGTTGTTGCTGACCTATCCGATTATTATTGTTTTAATCCCCTCTCCACTGTTTAAATGGTGTTTTCTCTAAACTGGAAAACAATTGTTGTCCCTTTACTTCAGTAGTTGAAATCGATCCTAAATCACAACAAGAACAACTATAAACTCACTAAAGTTAGTTGATTGCATATCATTTTGGCTACAAATATTCCCAAACCTGCATCGATATTCAAATGGCTAAACAGTTTTGATTGTGTATGTTGCTCAACTATGGTACTTTACTAATTTAAATGGGCTAGTAGGGGAAGAAGATAAGTTGTGCACATATGGTGCTCGTTGAAATGCCTGAGAGAAACTCAATATCAGGGAATCTGTAATCAATGGTGCACAACTCACAAGTAGTATTAATCAACCGGTTTTGCTTATTACTATACAAAGTAATAAATTTTTTGACTTTTTTGTAAAAAAAAAAAAACAAAGGAAACACCAAACAAGAGACACCATAAGCTCCAGCTTTATGAAACCATGTTGGTTTACCTATCATCAACTCTCCATCGGGTTAGTATTATAAAAAAATGTATACTTTATCATTAAGACCTTATTTTTATTAATTTTATTTTTGATTTTTTTTCCATTTGCCAATGCCACCTAGCAGGTAGTTGGTCACCAGGTTTTGGAATCATTAGCCCTGTTAACACCACCCATTTACATGGTCTTGCATCCATAATTCCACAACTTATATCAAATCCCATGAAAATTTCACTAATCGGTAAAGATCAACAATCAAGTTCAAGATCTTCCTCTGATCATAACACATCATCTTTTCTTGATTCCAAATTTGACACTTCTTCTAGTATTGGTA